CGGAGAGGAGGGGGGGCGGAGGAGCTGCACTGAGCCCTCCATCACCTGCAGGGGGCACATCTCTCTCACGCTGGTGGGGAGTAGGGATGGGTTGCTGGAAGCCAATTCTAGCATGTCATAATTTCAAGAGTTTCATCAAAAGGTTGATGGAACTTGGGGACTCAATAAGGGCTGAGTCACATATGTTGTCACCTGTTGGGAATGGCTGAAGGCATTTCCCCAAATCTGAAAAGGGATGATTGCTTGCTGCCAGACAGCTCAGGGCATCTTAATCTACATGTTATTGCCTCCTAACTGGCCAAACACCTGAACAGCCATAGGCTAATTCCCCCAATCTGACAATGGATTTTGCATATGAAACCCTGACCCTTTGAAGTGTATATCTCCACCTCCCCTCAGGACAATTTGTGTTAATAAAAACCATGGTGTCCTGAGACAGGAGATCTTAGTTCCTTTTAGCTAAGCTCCTCTGACCCCCAAATGCCTTTCAAAATTATGCTTCGTCTCTGGACTCTTTAAGTTACACACACAGCCCTTCTCCAGATTGCTGAACCCTTCTAGATGCTGGAACAAGAACCCGGCATGGGTCGTTCCAAGGAGCGGTGCAAAACGCAGATGTCACACACCCTCCTGCTGAGGGGTTCCCACCTGCCACCATCCTGGCCTCGGATTCGGTCTCCATTCGCAGCCCTTAAGGAAGGATGACAGAACTTCCCAGAACTCACCTGGAAATGCAAGGAACCGATTGAAATCTCCTCCCATTTCTCTTCTTCAAAAGCGCTTGCTCCACTGGTAATAATATTGGCACGGAAACGTGAGATGAGCTCTCTCATTGGGAATAATTCCTCCCTTCCACTCTCATCACTGTTGAAGACAGGCCAAAAAGGGAGAGGGGTGGGGGGTGGATAATTACGCCGTTGTAACAATTCAGTGTTTCCACCACTCAAAACCTGACTCATCGAATGTGCTCTGGCCTGAGGCCTGGGTGGCCAGAACACGCTTATACCGTGAGGCCAAGCAGCACCGACATGTTAGATCTCAGTGGTCTCCCTCGGGATATGGTCCCACGTCGGGAGAGGCCCACAGGATGTGGAGCAAAGGGTGAGTAGATCTTCGTGTAAGACGTGGAGGATTTTGGAAACCAGGTGAACAGAGGTTGAGTAAATGAACTGAGAAGACACCAGTTTCGCAAGGTGAGTCAGGATATGGCATTGAAAGAGTGTCCAGCTTATTACCAAGACATCACACTCTTGGGGAATATTAAAACATTGTAAAGCAACGCGGTTGATATTTATTTCCTAACTTTCATTCTGTTTGCAATTTAACTAGCCTATGCTATTTTTCTAATTCTGCCAGGAGGTCCTGTAAAATGGCTCTCTGCACCTCCCTGCACACACACACACACACACACACACACACACACACACACACACCAGGGAGAAAGCACTATCTATGCTGGAAGTCTGGACACTGGTGACCTTCAGTGGGGTTGGCTAAGGGGTAGAGGGAGCTTTCTGAGGTACTAGAAATGTTCTCTACTTGACCTGGGGTGGTTATATGGAAGGTCCATCAGTAAAGTTCACTGAGCTGTGGACTTAGGATTTTGCACTTTGTTGTACTCAACAAAAGTATCTTTTAAATTAAGTTGGGAGAAATCCTTGAGTATGATGGGAGTTTTCCCTGGAGACAGGATTGAAAGGCTCTGGGGGAGGAAGGGGTCCACAGCTGCGTCCCAGTCCCCTTCCAACAGTGAGTGGAAGGAGGAATGTTGGGAGCAGGATGGCTAAGTCTAGCTTTGCCTCTAACCAAACAACTCCCACGACCTGTGAGGACCACAGTTTTCTCATCCAAAATGAGAGGCTTAGCACTTGCCAGTCCTAAAACCCTTTGATTATGGATTTGCCCTCCTGGTTATAAACCTTCCTTCGGTGCTTTATAAAAGGGAAAGTGTTATGTCCAAAAACTGTCCTGTCAACATGTACATGGCAGCGGCCAGCAAATCTGAAAATAGAGCAGAGATACACCAACCAGGGCCCCAGGGACGGTCCCAGGTATTAGCCCTGGGACTATTTCTCTTACCTTTGCTCACCTGTCCCACCCATCCCCGTGCACGAAACCAACTGGTTGGAAACATGGTTCCCTCCTGGTAGGAACCAGGGTTGCAGCAAGCCTGTCTCACCTCCTATCTTTCTATACCAAGAGCCCCGGGAAACCACAGACCTGCTTCCTCCAGCACTCTGGGTACCTGGAGAGGAGGGTCACTCAGTGCAGCTAAAACTCAGTGAACACCAAGTACCAGCCGTGTCACACTTCTGCTCCCATGAGGGTGAGGTAGGCCATGGCAAGGGAACAGCGTTGTATGATTTTGCCAATGACTATACTTCAAACAGCCTAGCTTTATCACATTTATTACGCTGTACTTGTATATTTCTGCACACAGTGTGCACACAGATGCACAGGGGCATGTGGCACGTGAGAGGCACAGGAGCCCCGGCTCAGGTGCTGACAGGCGTGTGCATACCTCTCTCAGTCCTGGGGACTAGGAATGAGCAGTCCAGCTCTCTCATAACAGTGATTTCCCCCCTAATGGTCTGATGACCTTGGACAGCAATTTCCTCTAAAAAACGAGGGGGTTTGGACCAACCAAGACCCCTTGTAGAGCTGCTGACCTCTCACTACTGCCAGGACCCCTGGGAGAGAGAGCACTGGGCGGGAGTGGACAGGCAGGGGTGCCAGATCTGTCTGGTGGTACCAAAAGTCACATCTACAATCACAACTGTAAACACTTTCTAACCACCCTTCTTTTCCCTCACGAGGACTACGGAAGTAGAGCAAGGCTTTTCAGGGACAGAAGACAGTGGGAGGGTGGGCAATGAAATTAGAACAAGTTGGTAGAAATTCCATTATAGCAAATGTTAAGAAATGAAATGACTAAAAAATGAGAATTGGGGTTCTCTACTAAGCATCTTGAGGGCATCAAGAAGGACATCAGAAGACAAAAGAGAACCCTCAGAAAGATTAATGGGGACTTCCCTAAAGGGCCTTGTGATTTCTCTGGTCTCATGAAGAGTCTGGACTCCAGGACTCCAGGACTCCAGGAACTCTCTCCCCAGGTAGGTGCCAGGCTACATGCAGGGTAAGTGGTTACACCTCTATGTTATTCCCGAGGTAAATAGCAAATAGTAAAAGGGTCTTTCTTACCTGGCGTTTAATTGCTGCTGAAGTTCCAAAACACTGGATCTGTTTATCAGCAGATACTGGGCCTCATTCACCAGAGAAAGAGTGGCTGGTGTTCCAGCAGACTGCCCTGGAGGGGATGGAGTGGGTATTTAAAAGAAGTAACAACCCAAGAGTTCACAGGTAGACAACTGGGTAAAGAAGATGTGGTACATGTATACACAATGGAATATGATTCAGCCATAAAAAGAAGGAAATCTTGCCATTTGTGATGCATGGGCAGACCTAGAGGGCATCATGTTAAGTGAAATAAGTCAGACTGAGAAAGACAAATACCATATGATCTCACTTATATGTGGAATCTAAAGAACAAAAGCTAAAACCATCTCCCAGATACAAGAAAACAAATTGGTGTTTGCCCGAGGCAAAGGATGGAGGTAAGCAAAATTTGTGAGGGGGCAAGGGGGGTCAAAAGAGACAAACGTTCAGTTATAAAATAAATCCTGGGCCCTGACCGGTTTGGCTCAGTGGATAGAGCGTCGGCCTGCGGACTGAAAGGTCCCAGGTTCGATTCCGGTCAAGGGCATGTACCTTGGTGGCGGGCACATCCCCGGTGGGGGGTGTGCAGGAGGCACCTGATCGATGTTTCTAGCTCTCTATCCCTCTCCCTTCCTCTCTGTAAAAAAATCAATAAAAATATATTTTAAAAATAAATAAATAAATCCTGGGATGTAATGTATAGCATGGTGACTAGAGTTAATAATACTGTATTGCATATTTGAAGTTGCTAGAAGAGTAAATCTTTAAAGTTCTCATTATAAGAAAAAACATTTTGTATCTGGTTGTGGTGATGGATGTTAACTAGGCTTATTGTGGTGATAACTTCACAATATATGGAGATATTGAATCCATTATGTTGTACACCTGAAACTAAAATGTTATATGTCAATTATACCTCAATAAAAAATTTTTAATGAAATTAAACTTTAAATGTTTTAAAGTAAAATAAAAGAAGAGCTGCTTTTTTGGACTGCAAATGAATCATGCTCCATTGACTGTCATGTTTTAAAAATAGAGACTATCTCTACAAGTGAAAAAGTGGTGCCCTTGAAATAGTACAACCTGTCTTAAATTGTCTCAAATCTCTCCAAAAAATAAAAAATGAGCTCGTAGAATACTCCACTACTTATCTGAAAAGTAACAATAATAAAATGCTGCAGTGAAACTGCCAGCACAGACTTGGAGGCGACATTCAGAGGAGGAGGGATGGGCAGCAGGCGGAGCAGGGCTGGCCCGGGACAGCAGGGCAGCAGGCCTCCATAAGTCCACTGGCCCAAGAAGCTCTCCTGAATTAGGGGAAAGCTGGTTTTTGCCCTTGGGAAAGTGTGAAATAATTGACTTCAGAAATAAATAATACAGTTTAAAACTACTGAAAGGGAAAATAAAAGAGTGAAAGAAAGTATGAAATGTGCCCAGCACTGCTGGAGCCTGTGGCCCAGCTCCCACCTCCCATGCGGGGCACGCCATCGCTGTCTTTATCCAAGATGTGGATGGAAAGGGTTGGCTGGGCCAAAGCCTAGTGAGGTCCCTGCAAACAGGGTCTGAGGACCCCGGAATACACGAGAAAGGATCCTTCTACAGAATCACCTTCCAGGCCCTCCACTCCCAAATGCCCTCTTTGCTACAAAGGCTGTCAGAGAAGGGGCGCACGCCAGCCCCTCCACAAAAGGCCTTTCTCCCCCTTCACAGAGGGAAGGCTCACCTCTCCTGGGCACCCTCCCCTGGGGGCTGACAGTCTCCAAGGCGGAAAATAAAAGCCCTTTCAAATCCCTGGGGTCTGTGCTGAGATAAGGAACTTCTCTAAAGCCTGGGTGAATGATCCGCCTGTAGGTCAGATGGGCTCCCATTCTTTGCTCTCCACAAAGCTGTCACACCTGATTAAGTTGTCAAGTGACATGACTAAAGTCATCTTAATGTGAGATCCCTGTGTCTCAGGAAAAGGTTTGAGTGACAGCGGGTCAACCAACCGCCTTTCATCCCCAGCTCTTTATTCACTCAGATAAGGCTTTTCAGAAGAGAACCAAGGCTGAGCACCAGCTATGCTGGTCATAGGTGGCAGTTACTCATTAATATGGGAATTAATGGCGGGGAGCCCAGTCATCTCATTAAGAGATTTGTTTTCAACAGTGTTTTCACTGTCTTTTGAAATTTATAATATGTAGTTGTTGCTTTGATCAACTGTATACTATTAAAAATTGTGATAAGTCAACCTATAAGAAATTTCCTAACACTTGGACTCTTATGATCACAGTAAACTCTACAAATGTTTATACGTTCCAATTTATATAGGATCTTGGTTTTAGATAAATATGATAGGGTGATCAAGGAAAGATTTTCAAGCATAAAATATGTAACACTGAGATAAAACCCCATTAAAGAAGTAGAATGGAAATATGAGTTGAAGAAGAAAAAGGAAAGATATAAAATTTCTGACCATTAAAAGACAGTGTGTGTGTGTGTGTGTGTGTGTGTGTGTGTATAGTGAATATTCATGGAATCAAATCACTATGGTATTGAGATTCCACTCGCTAATGTTTAAAAGGATAATCTATGAGGATATTCATGGAATCAAACCACTATGGTATTGAGATTCCACTCGCTAATGTTTAAAAGGATGATCTATGAGTTTTCATTTAAATGACCACATTTATAATTTGCTAGAAATAGCCCAGACCCCTACACCCTGGCCCAGGCAGCTGACTCCTCAGCCCTGTGAGAGCCCGGCAGGGTGGGGGAACAGGAAGTCCAGAAGGTGGGGCTGCTGCTTTCCCCCAGGCTGACTCCAAGGAGAGGAGTGCTCCACCCAAGAAAGATGACATCTGTGGTGTGGGAGCGGGACTCAGCACAGGGATCCTGGCAGCTGTCCCTTCAGCTCTCTCCCCAGAGCCACAAACACCAGTCTCTTCTCACAGGACTGTAGTCTGCTCCGCAATCCCTCTGCCAGAGCCCAGGGTGAGTGGCTGTGACCAAGATTTTGAGTGCTGGCTCTTTAAGAGGGCACCTGTGTCTCTAGCAGACTTCTGTCTTTCCTTAGAGGACAGAATTCCAGCTGCTTTTCACAGCCAGATGTCACATGGTGCCTCTTCCTGGCGCTGGGGCTCTGGGCTAAGGAGCCCCACATGTGGTTGAGACCCCAGGCTTCTCGGGGGAACCTCTGCAGCTGAACATCCCTCCGGAATCTCAGCCACCAGCCCTGGTGCTCACAGGGCCAGCCCTTATGTCTCCGCCCTTCCTACCAGGCTCCTTGTGGCTGCTTCTGTAAATCCTTGGTTATAAGACTTCTGTTCAGCTAGTCTTCAGTTGGTTATCCAGGGTGATTGTTTTATAATTTAGTTGTAATTCCAGTTTGGTCCTGGGAGGAGGTGAGTGTACCTTCCACCTATTCTGCAGCCAGCTTGGGTCCTTCTTTTAACTTGTTTTTAACATTTAGATGACAAGGTAAAAATGTAGGAGGAGGTAATGTAGCTTTAAAACAATCCTTCTAAGGTGTACCAATGCAAATATGTTTGAAGACCTGAGACCTGGACCATCAGAGATCTCACCTCCATAAGTGGCATCCTTGAAGTGGAAATAGTCACAAGCTGGCACTCCCTGGTCCTGTCCAGTGAGGAGACAGAGTTCTCCCTGTGCCCACCTTTGCCTCAGCCAGGTCCCATGTTCCACTAGGATAGTCATAGCTATCTCCTGCCTATCCCCTTCCCTCCTCTCCCTCTCGGATGCCGCTCCCCATACCTTGCCAGGAGTGTCCTTCTAATACACACAGCATCACGAAACCCCAGAGCTTCGAATTCTTCAGTGAGTTCCCCCAACCACAAGCTAGCGCTTCCTGACTCCTCAGCTGCACATTCATCCCTTCAGCCCAGCTCTGCCCCATTTATCCCTGAGCCACATCCAACCTTCCTAACCCCTTCTCTGAGCCCATGAAATGCCACGCCCTGCCATGCTGCTCCCAGGTAACCTTCCCACCTCTCTCTGCCTGGAAAATGCCTACTCTCCTGCTAAGATGCAGCTGCAAACTCACCTCTTCCCTGAAGCCCTCCATGACTCAGTGCAGGTGAGTCACAGACCTTTACTGTAGTGTTGCCTCTAAACTGAAGGCCCACGACCATTGCTTAATAATCTCAGCCAGCCTCCTGAGGACCCGGCTAGGCCCCTGGTAAACAGGAAGCGTTATGAATAACTGGAACGTATTAAATAAGATCATGTATAAGGGGAGCACAGGTCCTGATGAATCCTACTCCTGTGTGTCTCTACTCATGAAAATGCCCATTTCTCTCCAATTTAATCATGACTCTGAGCTAATCCAGGCCCAGGCACCACCAGCTCACCTCCTCGAAAAATGAGCATAAGTCTATTCCCCTTCTCCATCACAGAGCAACTCAAATTCTTGAATAGCTCATGACATGAAAAATTGTCAGAACTTGGCTACGGTCCCTCCGAGGTTTGCAGCGGTTGTGGGGACAGAGAGGCAGAGCCCCTGGAGACGGACTGAGAGCAGCCATAGCTGCTCCCTCCCCCCGCCCTGTTGAGCCCGCCCCGCCCAGGCCCTGCGCAGAGCCATTTGCCGATTGCCTCAGGCAAAGGCTGGACTAGCGCCTCCCCAGAGGACTGAAGTTTTCCACACAGCTGATTCCTACAGCCAGTCGGCCTGGTGGTCAAATCCCTCTAGTGTTAACTACAACAATTAAGGCGTGGCTAGAACAAGACTGCGCACAAAGACCACAAGGGGGTGCACCAAGAAAGCATAAAAGATGCGGAGACAAAAAAACATGACAGAAATGGAGGATATGGAGCTAAGAATCGCAATTTTGAGGGCCTGGCTATAAAACTTGAGCAGAGC